ATCCAGACTCCGCTCAGGCTCGGCTCAGGCTCAGGCTCGCCCGAATAGGGGCCATCTCTCAAAAAAAAGCTGCCTTCTCCTCATCGGGGGACAGCCATATATTTTTATCTCACCTCCGAACACGCTCATCTCTCGATCCTCAACTTTCTTTTTTTCTATGAANCTCTCTCTCTCTCTCTCTCTCTCACACACACACACACACACACACACACACACACACAAGCAAACACACACAGTGAGCTCTTTCTCGTCCCTCACTTTGGCGGTCATGCTTCACGGCAGTGATGTTGCGGAGTCGGAACAGGGTTGGAACAGGTTATGAACAGAACAGGCTCGTCGTCCACCTACTCATCCCCTCCTCCAATCAATACTTGTCTGCAAAGGATTGGAAAACATGGCGTGCACGATGCAACGCCCTCATTCTTTTCTCTCCTCCGCGACCGTCAAACATGTTCACAGGAGAGAGAGAAAGAACGAGAGAGAGAGAGAGGGAGAGGGAAGAGAGAGAGAGCGAGAGGGAGAGAGGGAGAGAGAGGTGGAGGGAGATAAATTATATCGTGTCCTAACGGAGAGAGAGCGAAGAGAGAAAAGGGGGGACAGACTAGAGAGAGAGACAGAGGGACACAGGGGGGGGGAGAAGGAGGGCAGAGAGAGTCAACGAGCGATCCTGACATTTTCACACGGTTTCGATGTCCTGTCGTCCACTCCGGTTCGTTTTCGTTCATGGTTCTGACGATGATGCTGTACATAGAACGGAAAGGGAGAGAGGGAGGGAGAGAGACAAGGACAGAGGGAGAGACAGATGATGAAGATGCACCTGTCTCTTATACACATCTAGATGTGTATAAGAGACAGGTCTGGTTCTGGCCAATTCTGCACCTGGACACCTTCCCAATGCCTGCACCTAAGCCGGGCAATGGTCCCTGTACATTGGTTAAAGGGAAGAAAAGGAAAGAGGGGAGGGGGGGGGGGGGGGCCGGGGGGGAATGGTTTATAGAAATTTCAGGTACATTTATTTTCGTTTTGGAGGAACTGTTGGTATTTTCTTTATATTAGCTACAGGGGCGAGGCTATGCCCGAGGTTGAGGGTTCGATGCCGGTTGGCCCCTGGCACATGGAGTGAGTCCGTAGTTGATTGATGTAAGCCCTGCGCACTGGGCCCGTTTGTACTTAAAATAAAATTCAGAGAAAAAAAAAAAAAAAAAAAATGGTACACCACTCTTAACTGTTGCAAATGGATCGTGCGTTCGAATCCTGGTGCTGCGAGGTACCACTAACAAAGAGGATTGGATTGAACGCCTGAATCTGTACTTGTTTGTGGAAAGGTGCAGAATGAACCGATTGAACTTCTTTTCTGCATCTCTGCTTAAAACACGTCCAGATTCAGGATACTTATCCAATTCTCTTTGCTAGTGGGACCTCGCCCCTATTCTTAGTTACCATACTAATCCTTTTCTACTTTTTTGGTCGGGAGTTGCTTTTTTCGCTTTCTTTTTTTTTTCTTTTTTTTTTCACACAAGTGGACCTCCTTTTTTTTTAATACTACGAAAAAAAAAAGGGTCCCAATGCCCAAGGGCGAGAGATTTATGTACGGAATTCCATAATCATCTTTTTTCTTTCTTTTTTTTTTTTCTTTTTTTTTCTTTTTTTTTTCTTTTTTTTTTTCTTTTTTCCCTCGAAATTGCTCTTTTATTATCAGGGCCCAGTGCCCAAGGCCCAAGTGCATCAACAAGGACATGAAAATGAGGGACAGGATACATTAATTGTCTCAGAAGCTACCCACTAATAAATTTAAAAAAACAAAGAAAGTCCCTAAGCTTGCGAAAAGTCCCCTGCAAAAAATAAAAATAAATAAATAAAAAAGTCCCTTGCACGTCCTTCGGGACATCCGTTAAAATTGGAACGATACAGAGAAGGGTAATTAGGAAAAAATGGCCCCTGCGCTTTCAAGGATGACACGCAGAAATCGAGAAATGGTCCAATTTTTTTTAATTAAAAAAAAAAAAGTCCCCTGCGTATCTGTTCTGATCAGTCCCCTGCAATAAATTCTATTTTTTTTAAACAAGAAAACAGAAGCAGCAATTTAGCGGATATCGTGACGGACTCTAGCGGCATATTTAGACGAATTGCTCGACTGGATTTGGTCATCGCCGGCGGTCAGATACATCTGCGAAAATCAGTATCTCACTTATGCCGTTAGTGTTCCTTCCCTCTCATCTCCCTTGATATAGTATTTCCGACGTTTACTTGGGGCCTTTTTTTTTCTTTTTTCTTTTTTTTTTGGGGGGGGGGAGCGAGATGGCAGTTGGCTTTCTTGATTTCTTGAAATTCAATTACTGTATACTCATGACTTTCTCGAATGGATGTAGTCGTATTTCAAGCCCGATTCGTTCGAAGAAAATCCTGGAATGCTATCCCCCCTTCCGTCTACTCTCCATCACAACCTGCTCTGCTTTCGTGCTTGTCTTCCCTCTTCCCCTTACACACTCTTAGCCTGTGTCACGTCTTTCTACGAGGCCACGCTCAACTGCACAAACAGTCTGCATGTATCTGGAAAGGATATGGTCCCGATACATTCAAAATACAGACTCAATCGGAATGTATCTGGGCTTCAGGCCGGTCCACGTACATGCCGAATGTTACCGTTGCAACCTCTTACCCTCTATCACGTCTTTCAATGAGGACACGCTCCAATGCACACATCAGTCTGCATGTATCTGGAAACGATATGGTCTCGATACATGCAAATTGCAGGATCAATCAGAATGTATCTGGGCTTCCGACAGGCCACATACACGAAGAATGTTGTTTAATTGACAGAGGCTCCCTATCACGCCACGTGTTTCGCTGAGACCACATGTATATCGCCCTGTTTTACGTCATAGATTCATCTGAAAAACCGTTCGTCATTACGGTTGCCTTTGACGGAGACAACATAGACTGGCAGTGAATGATCTAACGAACGATCAAACGCATCATCAAGGAAACGATCGAGAAACAGTGACTGCGGATCCATCGACGACTCTCCAGATCATCAACCGCTCGGCAATGCCTGCGAGCGAGGGAACATCATAGAATCTCCTCTCTCTCTCTCTCTCTCTCTCTCTCTCTCTCTCTCTCTCTCTCTCTCTCTCTCTCTCTCTCTC